GCAGTAATGGAAGAACTTCAGACGAATAATGACAGGTAGAATGGACACAGCTGCCCTCATCAAAATGGCTGCCATGAATTGAGTGACTCTGCTGTTAGTCAGGATGGATGTGTATCTCAGAGGATTGCAGATGGCAGTGAAGCGATCAAAGGCCATGGCAAGAAGGACTCCAGACTCAGTGCAAGAAAGTCCATGGACAAAGTAAGCCTGTGAAATGCAGGCATCTAGAAAAATCTCTTTGCTGAACCCCCACAGTATCCCTAGCACTGTGTGCACGGTGGACAGCCCCATGCAAAGGTCAGTGAGGGCCAGCATGGCCAGGAAGTAGAACATGGGCTGGTGCAGGCTGGGCTCTGTCCGGATCACGTGCAGCACCATGCAGTTTCCCAGGAAAACTATAGCATAGATGGAGGAGAAGGGAATTGAAAACCAGGGATAGTACTGGTCCAGGCCAGGGAAACCCATGAGAATGAATACTGAGGTATTGATAATCGAAGCAGAAGAAGCAGGCATGATTATTTGAAGGTAATGTTCAAGATGGGATCGATGTTTACCCACAGTTTTGTCCAACTCTCTGCTCTGTGAGGAAGCCGTTGAGTATAAGACAGGTCCTCACATTGTAGCACAGGTGAAGCTAGTATAGATCCCAGGGAGGCTCCTCTCTGCAGGAGGAGCTACAGCACAGGAGGGACTCACAGGGAAGTCCTGGGTATTAGGTCTCATGTTACAGGAGCAAATCATTATCTGGACCTTTTGGGACAAATCAAATCATTCCCTCTTTCACGTTAGTCCCTCTGAGCTGATTAGAGGACACACAGCGGGTGAGGGTGGCAAAGCTATAGACAGCATAGGGCTGCTCCTGCTGTGCTGTCCCAAGGACGCCTCTGCAGCTGTCGTGTGGCCAGTGCTTGTGGCAGGAGGAGTCAGAAGGCTCAGGTTTATGAGGAAGGAAAGAGAGGGTTGTGTGGGCCAGGTGGCCCCAGGCTCCTGGGAGGCACTATTCCCTCTTGGTGGCTGATGCAAGTTGAGGATTCCACCTCTCCCCTGCAGACTAGTGTCTCCCTGGGATTGAGAGGAACAGATAAATGACAGCATTTTCCTGAGTCTACAAATTTTTTTCAGGCAGGTAGATTCACTATATAAGACTAAAACTTCAATACCTAATTGGAAGGAGAAGGCAAGATGTAAACACTCAAGAGAAATAGATTATATCAGAATTCTGAAAATTTTAATCTCTGTTTCAGTCTGAAAACAATGAAAGATGTTTATATAAGGCATATTTTCACTGATATACCCATTTATTGTTCACTGAATTCCTCTGTAAAAATTTTCATTTTCAGAATCTTTGAGACTTGTGTCTCCTTCTGACAGTGTAATATAAAGAACCATATAAAATTTTTGGAAAGAAAATGGTATAAAATGACACACAAACAATTGCTTAAAGCAGTCACTTAATTATTAGTTGGACAAGTTAATTATGCACTCGTGTGAAACATTGAAGTATTTTCTAGTCCTACTCTGTATATAATTATTAAGTATGTCTATATAAAATAACAATCTATTTTATTCAGAATTTTTCCTCTATGAAGGCATTTTCAGTAAGTATTTTATATGCAAAAGTTCCAAATGGAGCACAAAGAATATATTTTCTTGAAGTATTTGAGAATAAATTTCCTCCCTGATATTCATTTGCTCCCCAAATTTTTAGTGTATGTTTTCTACAAACAAGGATATTCTCTTACACAAACATAATACGACCATCGTCATAAAATTACAGTTAACACCATACTACCATTGAATTTTCAGAATCCATATAACTTTTGCCCAATTGTACCATTAATGTAATTTGTACTGGAAAAGGAATCCAGTTCAGAGTCATGTGGGTACCTCAGTAGTCGGCACAGAGCCCAGTGCAGGGCTGAGACTCATAAACCGCAAGATCATGACCTGAGCTGAAGTTGGGTGCTTAATCGACTGAGCCACCCAAGCGCCCCTCATGTGTGGATCTTGATTTTGGCTCAGGTCATGATCTCATGGTGCTGGAATACAGCCCCAAGTGGGACTGTGCGCTGGGTGGGGAGCCTACTTGGGATTCTCTCTCTCCCTCTCTACCTCCCGTGATTTTGTATGCGCATGTTGTCTCTTCTCTCTAAGAAAAAAAGGAAGGAAGGAAGGGAGGGAGGGAGGGAGGGAGGGAGGGAGGAAGGAAGGAAGAACGAAATAAAGAAATAGTATTTGCAAGTAGTGAAGAAAGTAATTTGCCCAACACCTCCTTTTTAATAAATGTAATGCAGGGCTTAAACACTATACTTGCTGATTTTGCGATTTATCTTTGGAGCAGTTTAGCTTATGGTAAGAAAAAGAAGAGAAGAGAAGGGAGGGGAGGGGAACAACAACAACAGAGCCAGGGAAGTTCTGTGCTGTGTGTTAAGGAAAAGTTTGGAGACTTACGAGCCTGCTGTGACTTCTATCTACATCTGCAGATGCTAAAGACTCCCTTGAAGCCCTGATTTTTAACACCTTTCAAATAGGTGGCAGCATTGGGTGGCAGCTTCGAGTGTTTCTTAATGTGTAATCAGACAAAGTCAAATACTCTGAAAATTCAAAATATTAAAAAAAACATTTTTAAGTAAATAAACAATTAGTGTTGTGCACCATTATTAATAAGTACTGCCATTGTAGTTATTGATAGGATAGATAAAATTCCCACTAGTGTGAAGCATCATGAACAAGATGTATGTGCATAAAGGTAAAAGTTAAATAATGCATCTTTATAGAGATGGAAAGCCATTGGAGTAAGGTCGAATTTGAAAGAAAGAGGCATTTGAAGATGTGTGGATGTGTGAGATTGTGTCTGCATTGCCTGTGCCTGTACACATATGTGTGAGTGCACGTGTGTCTGAGCAGTGGGTGAGCACATAGGGAAGCATCAGGAGTAGGAAGGGTCTGAAAGTGTTAACACCCAGGTTAATTGGGAGGCAGAAAAGTGCTTTAGCTAGTATGTGATACCAGCAAGAAAGGGGGTAGGCAGAAATTAAAACCTACGTGATCACCAAGAAAAGCTTATTCATTCATCTTCAGGTTTTGAATTCTACATCTGTGCTCACTACTTATGCAGTTCTAATCCTTAAAGAGAATACTATTTAGTCAGTGAAATAAATACATTATTTCTTTCTAAGTGGCATTGAGGTGGGCAGGGGAGGTGAGAAAACAGGTTAAGAGCTAAGAGCTAAGGTTTGTAACCATAAGTCCTAAGGTTGAGTAGGAGAACTTTCTCCGAAAAGCTAAGTTTTGAGATAAGACAGTGACAGCAGTCATGTCCAGGAACATGTCCAGGAACATCACACACACCTGTGATGACCTAACATATTTTTATACAGAATCCCCAAAGTTAAAAAAAAAAAAAAAAAGAGAGGATATCATAATAACTAGTGTCGTCTTTTATCAGCAGTTAAACAGTCCAAAGAAGACCAAACTGGTGATCAGGTGATTTTAGTGTGGCCTGTGCTGTGGTGAGAAATAGGAAAATTTCTCTTACTCCTTCCATATAAAGCTTTACAAATTTCTACTAATTTACTGAAAATGGAAGAAAGCTTGGCTATAAGCGAATTACTCAGAGGGGCTACTACTCTTCACTTGCAGATCTTATAAAATGGCTACTAAAAAGTGACATCAAGGGGGGGCAGAGCTGTAATAGTTTGCATGCAGTCAACATCTACTCTTCCTTCATCACTTTAGGATTTATGCCAAAGGCTAACAGAGGCTCACACTACATGGTAGTGAAAAGATTATGGTTTTTATTCTACAAATAAATCTCTTACCATTACATATATACAGAGCACATATCAAGGTGGCATGCATCAAAAAGATGTATTCTTTTTTTAAGTTTATTTATTTTGAGAGAGAGAGAGAGAGAGAAGGGGAGGGGAAGAGAAAGAGGGAGAGAGAGAATTCCAAGGAGGCTCCATGCTGTCAAAACAGAGCCCTATGCTGAGCTTGAACTCATGAACTGTGAGATCATGACCTGAGCTGAAATCAAGAATCAGATGTTGAACCAACTGAGCCACCCAGGCACCCCAATAAAGAAGTAAATTTTATTTTACTTATTAAAAATGTTTTTCAATTTTATTTCTGAGAGAGAGAGAGAGAGAGAACATGAGCGGGGGTGGGGGTCAGAGAGAGAGGGAGATACAGAATCTGAAACAGGCTCCAGGATCTGAGCTGTCAGTACAGAGTCTGTTGCAGGGCTCAAACGGATGCCTAACTAACTGAGCCACTCAGATGCCCCAAAAAGTTAATTTTAAAAACAAAGTTGAGGGGCGCCTGGGTGGCTTAGTCGGTTAAGCGTCCGACTTTCGCTTAGGTCATGATCTCATGGTTCGTGGGTTCGAGGCCCGCGTCGGGCACTGTGCTGACTGCCAGCTCAGAGCCTGGAGCCTCTCTCAGTCTGTGACTCCCTCTCTCTCTGACCCTCCCCTGCTCATGTTGTCTCTCTCTCTCTCCTATAAATAAATGAAACATTTAAAAAAAAACAAAAACAAAGTTGAGTCAAACAATTTTATAAGTTGAGATTTCAATTTATTCAAGTTATTATAATATAAGCTTCAAAATGTTTTCAAAATTGATAAATTAATAATTTAGAAATAATTTATTTAAATCACAATAACCTTGAGTTTATTGACTGAGACTAATAGCTTTTTGTTTTGGGGGTTGTTTTGTTGTTGTTGTTTTTAAAAGATCTTGTCATTTTACCCTCCTCTTACCAAACCCTAACTCCTGTGCCATTCTTTTCCATGGACCTTGCTCAGTCTTGTCTTGGCTTATTTGAGGGGCAGAGAATCAATTCATTCATGGAGTCAGGTAGATCTCCACCAAGATGTGTTTAAGAAGAGAATATTTGTAAAAGGGTTTCCAGCCTTTCCTAATGATACATTCTATTGTTGCTCTCGCTTGTAGTAGGACATTTGGAGAAGGTCTTAAGGAAACTTTATTTCTTAATACAGCTCTTTTGTCTTTCCAGACATTCACCATACTAATATTCGAGGCTTCACCAGGAAACTGTCTAGTACTACTTTCAAACATAGAGCAATTTCACAATGGGCCATAGAAAAACTCCTTCCTGACACAGAAGACTTTGGTTCTGTCCAAGTGTAAATTGTTCAGATTCTGAATGCTCTACCCTAGGCTAAGGCAAGCCCAAAGTGCTTGGGGATAAGAGCACTTGTACAGAGTTCTCTCATCGTGATCTCTAGAAATGACCACTTGGAACTCAAACCATGCAACAAGCCTATGGTCTATCTGTTAGAATAGATGTTTGAGACTGGGAGGGCTTTCTGGGAAGTGAGCCAGGATCAAGCGGAGCACAATCGCTAGAAACTGCAAGATGGACATTAGACATAAGAAAGACTATAAGTTGTTGTGTTTCTGATGTTTAATACCTAAAGCAGATGCTACAGAAATATGAGAGAGGAGCAGTCGTGTGCCATGCTAAGAAATCCAACCCTCCAAGAAGT